CAGTGTCATTATTAGAAAATCACTTCAAAACCAACTTTTTTTGTTCAGCATTGTATCTAGTTATCCATCACATGTGATCACTTCAATGTATACATTTTGAAGATGGGGTGCATGAGTTAATAGTGAAAACATTGCTGCGCAGAACATTCAGTTAGCATGACAAGTATTTGCTCATTCGTACATTGGTTAGTTCTTTGACCCAGTAATACTTACTGAGGGTCTGTTATGCTCCAGGTGCTATTCTAGGCACTATGGATACAAGGCTTGGTAAATTAGATGCCATTTTTCTGTCATGGAGCATTCTAGAGGAGGGATGGATTTTACATACATTTCTGGCAAAAGAGGTAATACCAAAGGAAGGACTGTACGCAAAACTCAGTGAACCATTCAGATCTGGCTTCCAGAAAGCCAAGAAAAGGAAACTCATATCTCAGGAGAGGCTGGTCATAAAACCCACAGGTTCCTACCTTTCAAATAAATGAACTTTGGTAGCTCATGTTTGATTTCAGTTCATGAAGTTTGTATTCTCTAGAGCCACGTTTGTTTTAATATGAAAGGGATAGTTTTTTTTTTTATGTGTTTCTCAAATCAAATATTCAGATACCATGGATGTGCCCAGAAAATGACTTCTGTTCATCCAATCTCAGTACCGTGGTGTGTGCTACCAAGAATAATCAACTTGCAGCTGTGAGCACCTAGCAAGAGAAAGCACTAACATGCAAAGTAGAAATTAAAATTTTGATTTTAGGGGCTGGCACTGTGGCATAGTGGGCTAAGCCTCTGCCTGCGGCTCCAGTGTCCCATATGGACACTCGTTGTAGTCCCAGCTGCTCTGGTTCCCATCCAGATATGGCCTGGGAAAGCAGTAGGAGATGGTCAAAGTACTTGGGCCCCTGCACCTGCATGGGAAGCCTTGAGGAAGCCCCTGGCTCCTGGCTTTGGATTGGCATAGCTCCAGCTGTTGTAGCCATTTGGGGAGCAAACCAGCAGATGGAAGACCTTTCTGTCTGTAACTCTGCCTATCAAATAAATAAGTCTTTAACAATTTTTAATTTTATATTAAATATTTATTATATTTTCAATAAAAAGGATTCAAAAAACAAACAAATGGATCAACACAACCCTACTTTATTTTTTTATTTTTATTTCTCCTTTATTTATTTGAAAGGCAGAGTTACAAAGAGAGTAGCAGAAGGAGAAAGAGAGACATCTGCCAACTACTGGTTCACTTCTCAAATGGGTACAACAGCAAAGACAGGGCCAGGATAAAGCCAGGATCCAGGAACTCCTTCCAGATTTCCCATGTGGGTGGAGAGGCTGAAGTACTTGGGCCAACTTCTGCTGCTTTCTCAGATGAATTAACAGAGAGCTGGGTGGGAAGCAGAGTAGCTGAGACTCGAACTGACATTCCAGTATGTCCTGCTGGCATTTCAAAGGATGGCTTAACCTGGTGCCCCACAACTCTGGCCCCATCTCACTGCTTTAATAGTCTTCACTGAAGCATAAAAATATAGTATTTACAAACATTTAAAAGCCAAACAGCACCACCAACAAAATCAAAAATAAAACTTTCTCTCCTTCCCCATTCAATCCTTTCAACAAATTTAACCACAGTTAGGAGTTTTTGGTGATTCCTGTCAGAAAAAAATCAGTGCTCTTATGTAAGTGTGTATATGTGTGTGTGTGAGTGTGTAAATACTTAATATAAGAAGAACCATACATTACCGTTTTGAAGCCTGCTTTTTCACTCATCAGCCTGCCTTCATACAGTTCAGCATATGCAGATCATCCAGTGCTAATGGTTGCTGAGGATTCCTGGGTAATTCTAGATTTTATTTAACTCCATTGCTGTAGAGAAGTGATCATTGGTGGCAAGCATTTGTGTAACTATTTCGTAATAGCAAGATGTTGGCATTTCAAGGGAAGCAAACAAAGCAGGATATGGTGGAAGAGATTATTATAATGGTTGGAAGACTAAAATCTGGATCTACTGTCACTGCTGTTGTTTGGTTATGACACCAGGTGCCGGATCCAGTCTTAACACATAGAATCACTTGGTGAGAGAGGTAGACTTTGGGCACTGCAGGAAATTCTGCTTATTCAGCAGTTCAGATAAGCAGCAGCTTAGGATAAGCTCCTTAGATTCCTTTCTTAGAAGACGTTAGATGGCGGTGGCGCAGGAAGGTGTCTTCACAAGTCATTTCAATACGATGTGGCAAGTGCCGTGGCAGATACGGGCTCAGGATGCCCTGGCAGCAGGTGTGGGAACATTCAGTCTACCTACAAGAGTAGATGTGTGGTATTAAAAGGAGAGTGTTGGAGGGGAGTGATTGAACACTTCTTAGAAGGATGGATGCCCAAGCTGGTGGCTATGATAATCAGAGTTAGCCAGATAGAAGAGGGAGGAAGGGCATCTCAGGTCATGGAGCAAGGATGCAAGAAATTGCATGATGAGTTTGCGGAAAATCAAGTAGTTAAGTGTTGTCAGAATAGAAAATCTGAGATAGGAAATGAGCTAGAGACCTGATCCTGTAGAACCTTATGCATCATGCTAAGGGCTGAAATTCCTCCTTAAGTCAAAGGCATGCATGTCTTGATTGTATCAATAAAAAGCTTTCTAAATATTTGTCATTACCCTTGGAAGCACTGGGCATCATAATGCTCTCAAACACTGCAACTGCAGAATTGAGTCATCTGTTAGCTTAGTTATCTTCTGCTGTTCAGCCAGATCTCCTTGGTTCAGTGATTGATTTCGCCTGGTACCCAGAGTACCCCAGAACCTTAATCAATCAATTGACAAAACCAGAGGTCACTGTATGGGAGAACAGTGTAGTTGAGTGAATTCAAATCCATCTCCACTGTCAGAAAACAACTAAGATTGAGTTGGGCTGCAACATCTTTGAGTATCTAAGATGCTCATATTCCATTAGCTGGTCACTTTATCAGATATAGGAACACAGCCAGTTCATGTAAAATATATTGCTTCTGTTTGGGTTAAAAATGGAAACCGGGTGGGGCAGGAGGGACCTGCAGTGCCGGCATTCATGTGGGCACCAGTTCCTGTCCCAGCTGCTCCACTTTTGATCCAGCTCCCTGCTAATGTGCCTGGGAAAGCACTGGAAGCTGGCCCAAGTACATGGGTCCCTACACCCATGTTGGAGACCTGGAAGAAGCTCCTGGCTTCAGCCTGGCCCAGCTCCAGCCTTTGTGGCCATCTAGGGGGTGAACCAGAGGATGGAAGATCTCTCTCTTTCTCTCTCTCTCTCTCTCTCTCTCTCTCTCTGACTCTTTCAAAATAAATAAATCTTTAAAAAAAGAGACACCAAAGGAGTGTGGTGATTTGATCTGAATGAGTACTAGTTAGTGCTTGTTTTACTTTGATATTTGAGTATTTTTATTTCTAATTATTCCATATTTCATTAAATGCTAGGCAAAACCGCCAGTTATTCAGTATGAGATAAGTGAAAAGCACCGGAAAGAAATTAACTTGGAAGACAGAAGCTCAGAGGAGGAAGACCTCACTCTTTTACTAAAGAGAGAGATAAATCCATTTTAAGCACAAAATAGCATCTAGATATTAAACTTATTTGTGGGAAAGTGCATTTTTATAAGAAGGTAGACAGTGTTCCCTGTTGGTCTCACCACAATTAATTTATTTAAACCCTTTAACTTAATTTTCTCCAAGCAAAAAAACTTTTTCCTGGAATTATCCATCATGGAATTCCAGGAAGATGTGTTAAATATGTCGCTATAGTTGAAAATTGTCATCTACAATGTTTTATTTAGCTGCGTCTTTGTTTGCCCTGCTGCTCCCAGTACAACACACGGAACACCATATGCCATTGTCCCTATCAAGACGCAAAGGGTTCCCTGGTCTGTGCCTGTGCTGGTGTTTATGCCACAGAGGAGCTGTGGTCCAGTGCCATCTTTTATTGATAGGGCCAGCAAAGGAGAAATCTAATGAAATTATCAAAGCTTTGAATTAATTATGAACTGGAATAGGAGAGCTAAGCTCTCTGGAGCCAAGGATCTCATTACCCATTCACTCTCTTTGCATCCTCTCCCGGAGCAGAAGGCATTTTCAGCTACAGCTCTTAGCCTGGCTTTGGACTTTATTCAAACTTGCTAAAACTGACATCTTCTTTTTCCTACAGTGTGGCTGCTAATGTCCATGATGATTAATTTAACTCTGCTCTGGATCTGCGGGAGCTAGAAATAGGTTTTCTTTACCCCTCTTTTTGCCTTTTATTGTTTTTTTTTTTTCTTCCCCTATCAAATTGGATGTTTTATATGTGTCTCTCCTTCTGGGGTAATGTGAGAAGCTTCCCTGGGATATAATGACTAAAATTAAGAGCTATGTTATATCTACTATGTGTTCCATGGATATTTAGGTAAGCACAAAGTCAAATATTTCTTCTTTGAATCTTGAACACCAAATTGAAGTTTTTCTTGCTTGTGTCTGCCATAGCATTAACAGCGTAGCAGTAACTTTCTTGGTCTCCACAGCACTGTGGAGACTTCCAGGCTGTCGTGAGTGCCACATCTTGCCCTGTGGTTGCAGTTCAAAGGACTTTTGCTCACTAGTAGGGAAAAATTAATGTTTGCCTTATAATTCTGTATTCCTTCCTCTCAGTAATGTGAATTTTTTTTTTTTTTTAGGAATAAATCAACCTCTGATTGGTCTAAGCCTAGTAGCAAAATCAATAACAACAATGTTTTGATTTACCATTGGTGACGATTCTTTTGGTACTGTCATAGAGGTTTAAGGCATCTCATGGCAAGCCATTTCTGCCTGCTTTTGAGACCCATTATTTATGAATTCCTAAGCTGCAGCTCATCTGTCTTAGTAAACTACAGGCCACTGCCAATTTTGTAAGCAGTGACTAAGTTTGCTTTGTAGAGTCAATGTTTTAAGGTTTTGATTAGTGGGGGAGGGAGAATGATCTCCTTTGCTTTCCTATTTACTTTGAGTTTTTCCCTCCTATTTATTTTCTCTATAGGCAGCTGCGATATTTAATTCAGCCTTTGGAAGTTTTTTGGTAAGTAAATATAGTTTTCTTTGTCTATTATAACTTTTGCTGTGATATTGTTTGTATGAAAAATTTAGTGAGAGCTGGACTTTTTTACTCTTTGGTTAAATGTAAAAGTCCTTGAATTTTTTTCACGTGCCAGTATTTTCTGCAGGAAATCAGTTAATAAATAAAGTGATTGTTCTCTTATAATATATTTTGGAGGCTCAGGTTTAATATTCCATTTAATGGATTCAAAGAATCAATTAAAACACTATGTGTCTCCTTATAGAGGTTATGTCAATATATCGATCATTTAATGAGGTCTTTTAGATTATTATTATTTTGTATCATGGGACTGAGGATTTTGAAAAGGAAACATGACCCAGCTGGTCAGAAAGAGAATGCTAATTTACTTGTTGACATGTCATTTATTTTGTACATTTCACTGTCAAAGAAGGTACTGTCTTAGGTACTTCTGAGAAATCTATGTGGGAGAAATTTGAAATGAGGATACAACTATTGAGTGTTTTGTAAGAAAATGTGATATATTTAGAGAACTATAGATTATATGTAAAAATATTTAAAAGTAGTTAAACTTTCAAAAGTGGAATCAATATAAGAATGTTATTTTAGCATTATTTTTAAAATAGCTGATGTAACAAGAACTTCATTTGTTTTATAAGGAATAAGAAAGAAATTAAACATTTTCTGTTAATTTAATATTTTTATTTATACCTTAAACTGCTAAATTTGTGAAAATGAATTATGTTACTTTTAGGTACATAATGATTTACAACTAAATGATAATAAAATCAGTGGGGGTCTCTTATTGTCTATTTAAATATACATAAAGCTATTAAATATTTTGTAATGTACTGTTAATTCTATATAGTGTTGCACAGATTTTAATGTACCATAGCCTTGCAGAGCTTTTAGTAATGTAGCTTACACAAAGTATATTGCTTAGAATATATGCTATTTTAAAAGAAGAATCAGTACTTTTTATTGTATTATTATTGGGTTTTAGAAGAAAAAAAGGGTATTTAACAAAAATGATCTCTTGCACTACTTAGTGGTAATTCAATAATATTTTGTTATTATTCCATGTATCCAGTTATTATTCTATATGTTGTCACAGTTGTTTAACAGAATAATATCTGTAAAATAGGATTTTTCTGGAAACCAGTTTTTCTATATGGCTTGGAATCATACACATCCACTGTGAAAGCATGGCTTCCTACATTGGGTCTATTTACTCTTTAAAGTGTCCAAGTTAATAGAGAAAGCGAAGTTAAGGCAACTGTGTGAGTATCTGAAGAAAATACTCTGTCCTTTTGTTAGAGAACAGGCTAAGCATAGTTTGAGCTTTGCATTGACTGTGTGTCTACCATGGATACTCATTCTGCTAGGCCTGATTATTTTTTTTTTTAAATAATTCTTTACTGAAACAACATACATGTTCACAATAAATGTAATCACAAGGACTAAGCAACTAATCAAGTACTTAGGTTTTGGAATCAAGATTCTGGGGTTTGAAGCCTAACACCACCACTTCCAGCTATGTGACACTAGAAAAATTCTGTAACCCAGAAATCAGAACTACTAACAATATCAACAACTTTCAGTTTTCTGAGTATTAAAAAAGCTGATGTGTGGGAAACACATTTAATACAGTTATTATCTAATAGGAAGTCCTCAATAAATATTAATTGTTGTTGCTATAGAGCTGTAATGGAAATAAAAACAAGTACATTTCTCTGGTAACAAACACATATTAACTTCAGGGGAATGGAACACAGAATTTCCCCAACAAGACTAACAGCTTTCATTTAGTCTATCAAGACTTCTCTGCCATGGGTAAGAAATTGTTTTCATTACATTCAACCTGTATTTGTCATAATGTCCTAGTCAGGTATGAAACAGGGATCATTATTCCAAGGTGATCTTAATTAATCTAATAGGACATTTTCACTCATTTCAGAAAGTTCCTTCCTTTTTTTTAACTTTTATTTATTAAATATAAATTTCAAAAGTACAACTTTTGGATTATAGCAGCCTTTTCCCCCCATAACCTCCCTCCCACCCGCAACCATCCCATCTCCCACTCCCTCTCCCATCCTACTCTTTGGGTTTTTTTTTTTTTTTTTTTTTTTTTTTTTTTTTTGACAGGCAGAGTGGAAAGTGAGAGAGAGAGACAGAGAGAAAGGTCTTCCTTTGCCGTTGGTTCACCCTCCAATGGCCGCTGCGGCCAGTGCGCTGCAGCCGGCACACCATGCTGATCCGAAGCCAGGAGCCAGGTGCTTCTCCTGGTCTCCCATGGGGTGCAGGGCCCAAGTACTTGGGCCATCCTCCACTGCACTCCCTGGCCACAGCAGAGAGCTGGCCTGGAAGAGGGGCAACCGGGACAGAATCCGGCGCCCCTACCGGGACTAGAACCCAGTGTGCCGGCACCACAAGGCGGAGGATTAGCCTAGTGAGCCGCGGCGCCAGCCCCCATCCCACTCTTCATCAAGATTCATTTTCTTTTTTTTTTTTTTTTTTTTAACAGGCAGAGTGGACAGTGAGAGAGAGAGACAGAGAGAAAGGTCTTCCTTTGCCGTTGGTTCACCCTCCAATGGCCGCCGCGGCCAGCGCGCTGCGGCCGGCGCACCGCGCTGATCCGATGGCAGGAGCCAGGAGCCAGGTGCTTTTCCTGGTCTCCCATGGGGTGCAGGGCCCAAGCACCTGGGCCATCCTCCACTGCACTCCCTGGCCACAGCAGAGGGCTGGCCTGGAAGAGGGGCAACCGGGACAGAATCCGGCGCCCCGACCGGGACTAGAACCCGGTGTGCCGGCGCCGCTAGGCGGAGGATTAGCCTAGTGAGCCGCGGCGCCGGCCAAGATTCATTTTCAATTGTCTTTATATACAGAAGATCAATTTAGTATATACTAAGTAAAGATTTCAACAGTTTGCACCCACACAGAAACACAAAGTATAAAGTACTGTTTGAGTAGTAGTTATACCATTAATTCACATAGTAGAACACATTAAGGACAGAGATCCTACATGGGGAGTAAGTGCACAGTGACTCCTGTTTTGATTTAATAATTGACAGTCTTATTTATGATGTCAGTAATCACCTGAGGCTCTTGTCATGAGCTGCTAAGGCTATGGAAGCCTCTTGAGTTCACCAACTCCGATCTTATTTAGACAAGGCCATATCAAAGTGGAAGTTCTCTGCTCCCTTCAAAGAAAGGTACCTTCTTTGGTGGCCCGTTCTTTCCACTGGGATCTCACTAGCAAAGATCTTTCATTTAGGGTTTTTTTTTGTTTTTTTTTTTTTTTTTTCGCCAGAATGCCTTGGCTTTCCATGCCTGAAATATTCTCATGGTAGGCCCAGTTATTGTTAAGGTCCAGTGAGGTAAAACTTGTTCTAGGGGTTCCATAGGATTTCTGTTATGCTCTGTTACTTCTAAGAAGTCAAGTAGTCTCACTCTCTCACTCTTTAGTTTTCTGCTCTTCTTCCTTTCTGCACTTTTTTTCTTACCTGAATTCAACGGATCAGTCATAAGTATTTATTGATCTGCCACACGCAGTTTTCTAGAAATACAAGGTGGGTCCTCTAGGTTGTAGAGAGGACACATAGAAAAGAGCAATGCAATGTGAAAATTAACAAAGTGAGCAGAAGGCATTACTGGCACAGGCATTGCCAGTTGCTGAATCCAGAGGCCTGACTGAAGTGGTTTCCCTTAGCTTGGCCTTGAAGTAAGGATAGGGCTCAGCTAGTCTAGAAAAGACAATGAAGTGCATGAGTAATGGTCGAGGGCAGAAGCATCCTGGTTTTTTCCCATCCAACTCCCTCCTTTCTTTTACTTCTTTTTTGTTTCTGAAAGTTGGAGTGTATCTGAGAGTGTCTGAGAATGAAACGGATTGGGTGTATTTTGCTCCAATATTACAAAAGAAATAATTTTATTTCTTTTTTTCACCTTTTCACCATTGTTGCAGGAAATCTGGGATTATGAAATAAGTGTGGGTCTAAGTTACAGGCAGCATATTTAAAAGGAAAAAAACCAATAGTAGTGATTTGTTTGAGATAAAATGTTATTTCTATATCATATAAAATCTGGAGAGAGGCTGTCCAAGTATGGTACAGCCCGACCATGGGCTGAGACTCCTGCCTTTCTCTTCCACCAGCCAGCCACAGCATGTACCTTCCTTTCTTAAGGTTTCCTTGTGGTCCAAAATAGCTGCTAGCACTCCAGCCAACATATCTGACTTAGCAAAGCAAAGTAGCAAGAAAGGACAACAGAGCTCCCTAGAAGCTAAGTCTGCTTTCTTTAAACAGCATTCCTGGAATTCTAACACCACACTTGCACTAGTATCTAATGAAAGACTTAGCCAATGGATCACACCTTGCCAAATGGCATATGTGGCAATTTGCCAATAGCTGAAAATTGAATTTCTATTAACAAAGAGGAGGAGCATGGATATTAAGAGACAGCTATGCAGTGATCATCATAGATTTGAAGAAAGAGAGTAATCTCAGTTGAATGAAATCTTTGGGAAGATGGTGGTGCTTTGGTTGGTTTGGGAAGAGATTTATTTTATAGGTGAAAAATCCCAAGTTATAACTTTTATGTTTTATTTCTTTATACTTAAAATGTATTATATAGCTTCTTAAGAATTTTTTTTGAATGGAAAATATCTAGTTATCCTTAAAATTTTTGATTATGAGTAACAGTATGATTTCTGGAGTCAGACCTCCTGTGTTTGAATCCTTACGTGACCAAATACATGTTTAAAAATGATAGCACCTATAGAGTTGTGTTCAGGAATAATAGTATAATCTACCTAAAATGCTTGTATGATATCGTAGAAATAGTTTTGAACTAAAACTTAGACCTGAGTTTTGGACTAGGCTCTGCGATGATTGCTTTGTGTATGTGGTTATGGATATTCATAAAATGTGAAATCTAAAATACACTCATTCAGTGGCTCACTGGCAATTCTCTGATTATGAGGGACCATTCCTTTTTAAAAGGAATCT